TATGTCATGGCACAGTCGCGACAGTATTGTATCGTAATAAAACACAGTTTCACATACACACGCACACTCACATGTAGACGGTGTAGTAGTGTATATTTCAACAGAAAAACTTCCGCGAGAAATAAAAGTTGAAAAAGCTTTCCATAAAAAAAAAATCCTTCATATTTATAAATTATGATTCCAATGTTTGTTAAATTCTAAAATTTTCAGTTTTATTTGATAAGTTCACGTCTAAATATGAGCTTTCCTTCCGACTATATCTATTTGTTCAACATGGAATGGAAGTCTGGACGAGTTTATGAAATGTTTTAAGTAAACTTTCATTCTTTTACAACAAATATCTTATAATTTAGATTGGATCAACCTATATATGACTGAAAATCCTTACTTAGAATGACAGTCCAATTAAAATATTTCATGAACTCATCCAGACTTTCATTCCATCTCTAGCATGAAGTCTAAATAAGAAGGGATGCCCCATTCTTGGAATGGAGGTTCTCAAGTAAGACGAAAATTTTTAAAATTTGAATGATATTTTTTAAAATAGAATGAAAATTTAAAATTTAGAATGTAATTTTACTATAGAATGAATATTTAATTCGGGGAATTTTTTCTGTTGTTCGATGTTCTAGCGGAAGATTCACTGCGCCTCATCTCCTTCTTCTTATTTCTCTTTATGCTATTGCAGGAGTTAAGTTATCTGGTGAGATGCCAATTTTTCCGTCTATAATTGTGCATGTATATACATCTATCCTCCTTTTTTTTTTCTCTATAGATGTATGAGAATGATGAATGTTTGCCTGTGTTGCTTTGTGCTGATAATCCGTATATAATTTCTTTGTCAAGATATAGCCAGATGACGATTGGTCAAACGTGAGGGCCAATAATAGTTCCATGATGAAATGAATGTGTCTTCTCGCCTTCTCTCTCTCAAGAATCGCAGTGATATACCGAAGATGGATGATTGCGCTCTTCTCTTATATTCAATGCGTTAAAGATTTTTTGTGGGAGGAAATACCCACGCTTTCAATCCACACAACCGTTTCGTCTCTCAAAACAATCTATTACTCACGAGAAGCTTAGCTGCATTCCTGCTGATTGAAAAAAAATAATGTGTAAACCTCCAGACTAATGATCATATCCTTTCGCCTCCCGTCATTATCTCTATTTTAAATGAATGAGCCCAAATAATTTTTGAATGGACACTCTTTATAATTGCTCTGTTCGGGAAAGACTTTGCTCTTTTTGATGCTTAGAGGAATGCTTACCGACCTGAGCAACCAGTTTCCTTGGTAATCCTGCACCACAATGAAACATAAGGCAAGAGAATCCATTCTCACTACCTGATTTATCATCGTGGAAACAAACCCCAAAAGTTAATGAAATTTGATCGTTTCGTTTTGTGAACGGCGAATGCGCGTGTGTCAGCCATGTGGACTGAGCCAGCGGAGCCATCGGGGAGACAACTTCTTGAACCTTTCCCACAACCCTTCTCATACAACGAGGATAGGRCGTGTGTTTGCGAATGGAATGTACAGGAAGYCGTCGTCAAGATCAACAACCCTTATCATTACTCTCTGAAGTACGTTGCTCAGGATTCGTCAACACGGGTTTTGTGATTGTACCCATTTCTCTCCCTACTTCGTTTTGCTTCCCTTTAATGAGTTGATTGTCATCTCGTGGCCGATAGCCACTCCCCAMTGACCTCACATGCTGTATAGCGATTTTTGCCACACAAAGCGCTACCAGGCGCAAGGGTTCAACTCTCAGACATGTGGTGAGGAGGAATTAAAAGAGAAAGCAGTAAGGTTGCAACCCTCCAACTCAGATTCTGATCTCTGCGGCGAACGCCGGTCCCTCATTTGAAACCGAGATCCGACGTGCGTTCACCCTCCCTTTGACCAGGCAAAAGACGGTCCGCCGCATGCAACCAAGTCCAAAGGTTCTTTTTGGATWAGATAGTTGTTAGGACCCTTCTCCCTTCCCTTCCTGCCTTGATTCGTCGCTCCATATTTGGGACCCTAACTGGAGATTTCAGTTATGTCTGACATTGTCTGTCTGCACACTCAATTTTCCGAATCCTTTGGCACACCCCATTTTGTCGCTTTCCATGCTCATTTTCGAGCTTTAGTTACTACGATAACGAAAACAAAGCAGGGTGTGACGAACTGTTTCCTGTAACCGCGCGACTTTTTGTGTGAAGCTGCTTCACAGGTTCGGACGGGTTGGTCGGGTGAGAAGCATTCGGATGGTTCGGCCGGGCAAGTTGCATGGATGCCCTCGCGTCTTTCTTTTTGGACTTTCAGACCAGGGTCGACAAAGTCCTGGGTAGGCAGTTGAAGTACCCATGCCTTGGCGAGCGTGAGAGAAAACTGTTGCCATAACTTCTTTCTTATTCTGCTGTGGGAACTGGGAATTTGGCGATCATCGCGCAGGAATGTCGTTTTTGAATTTTCAAACTGGTGTCGAGCCCCTGCAGGCTTTCAAAATTGTTTTCTTTCGGAATTTCTTTTTGTAATAAGGATTTAGGCTAGGAATTTAGGTACCTTGCAATATGGCTCCACGACGCTTCTTGCTTGTGCACGCCTACTAAAGTAGGATCTGGGCTCTGACTTCTCCGCGCCTTAATCTTGCGCATAACTGTAACTTTTGGCGGGTGTAATTGCAACTTTAATTTCCTCGTAATTGATGTCTATTTCCCCGCCCCACCTTCGCCCGCACAAATACGCTTCCTTCTCTGTTCTAATTGGTTCGAACGTTGCATGACTGGATCGATGCGTGGAGAGTGGCTTCGTTCCCAGCGCCGAGGCCTGACCATGCAAACTTACGCACTTCCTCTTTTCCTCTGCTCAGGCATAATCCCGGGTTTTTCGCGTAAGCATGCATGCTATAAATTTCGCCAGCGCGATTAGCTTGCTCTCTATGAATTTGGAAGTTAGTGCAGCCAGTGAGGATCGACTAACGAATAAGCTAGGAAGGTGAGCAGACGAGAGAGTTGGGAGATCCGACGAGCTGGTGYYGAGCATGTGGTGTTGAYRTGCRGGCYGCGACGGACTGTGGCGCACGGACGAACCTGGCTTGTATGCTCGGACCAAGCTGGGTGACAACTCTGTGTTGATGCCAGGCGACGGACTGCCTGCATCAAAGGTGATGTGGAGAGAGAGAGAGAGAGAGAGAGAGAGAGAGAGAGAGAGAGAGAGAGAGAGAGAAAGGACGTGTCGGGATGATGTCTTAAATTGGTCCCCTCATCTATGTAATTTTGACAAGTGGCGCCAACCATCTTTTTGCTCGTGGAGTCACGACTATCTCTAACTTTCCTTCTTCTTGGTAAATGACGAATGATTTGATTTTTCATCTGAGTCTCTGTTTCACTGTGACTTGTTAGATTGGGTACGATGATCGGTTGAGTATGACTTCCATGCACCCAGGGCTATGGTGATGTGAATGAAAGATTCATTTGGCTAAAGTGGCGTGGTGTATGTGTACTTGCCAACTTCTGGCACCCATTTTCCATCTTCTTTAGGAAATTGTATGATCAATCGTGTGCCCGCCCGAGAAAGTTCGACCCTGAGGGCCACCACTTACCTGCGCGGCTGCAGATAAACACCCGATCTGTCCGCCCTYATTCTCTCCTCCTTATTGAGAATTTGGGCTTATYGGCCCCTTGGGCGCTTGCGTTAGATCKTTGCGAGCTCTTTGGCTTGATGGAAATACATGTCGTTCTCCTTGTAAATGAATGGATTTAATGCATGAATACATGTCGATTTCTCATTCCCATTTTCTGTCGAGGTCGTATGAACAAGTYTGATGGGAAATTTTGCCGTTTCGATGGATGTATGTCTCGATCGAGGAGCGAACATTTGATTCGATGCATAATCGTTCCCTGACTTAGACGACYGTCCCGTCAGAAAAARAAACATCTGATCCGGGTCCATTCGACTGGATGTTGTGCAGCATCAGGCAGATGGCATGCGTCGTGCATCCGAGACTAAAGATCTCCGGGTACTCTTCCGTAATCACAGCACCGNCATTCGACTGGATGTTGTGCAGCATCAGGCAGATGGCATGCGTCGTGCATCCGAGACTAAAGATCTCCGGGTACTCTTCCGTAATCACAGCACCGGCAGATGTAAACACTCTTGCATTCTCGAACAAAATCCCAACAATTTTGCCCTTGTCACAACCTCAATTTCCGTAAGCCTCAAGCCCAAAAATTAGAATTACCATCTCCTCTGGTTCCGCCTTCGCGTTTGGTCTCGTGGTTAAACCACGGGTCGATGCCGCTTGGCTTCGGCTTGGGCTCGTCGAGCGATTCCCGAGGCTCGATATGCCTGGTGCCGTCGACACTTTTCGCACGGGTTGCGGGGCCAATAGCGGGCTATGGAGTTCCACGGCACCACCGTGAGTTGGTGATATGGGAGGAGGAGGTGAAAGGGGGGGAAACTGGTGGTAATTACGACTAGGCCGGGGGATATCCTACCCCGTAAGCGCGGTGGGCCCGCAGAGGGAGGTCGTGTTCCGTTGCACGCCGGAATCGGGCCGAACTTTTGATTCGGCCCAGCGGATGAAAGCGATCGAGGGCGGGGGTGTGTGCAGAGCGGCGTGCGTATCAAATTGTTGACAGCGCGCCAAAACACGAGTGAGCGCGCCCATCGGGCCGGGCGGCGGCGGGCGTTGATGCGAGGGGATATCTCGAAGCACCGGCCGTTGGGTAACCTTTTTTCTTTTCCATTTTTTCGTCGTCGGTTGGTTCCCTTCTTTCTTAAATTCATTTCCAGTTCCTTTTTTTTTTTTTTTTTCCCTTTTTCCGTCGTCGGTTGGTTCCCTTTTTATTTTCATTCTTATTCGGTTGCAATCTTCTGTCGTGTTCCCCCCTTTTCGAAGCGCCCGCCGTTGGATATCCTTTTCTTTTTCCTTTTTCCGTCGTTGGTTGGTTCCCTTTGTTTTTTAAATCATTTCCAGCTACTTTTTTTTTTTTTTTTTTCCCCTTTTTCCGTCGTCAGTTGGTTCCCTTTTTATTTTCTTTCTTATTCGGCTGCAATCTTCTGTCGTGTTCCGTCGTATTCTTCTGTCGTCTGGCCTGCCTTTTGTGCGCGGAGTACCTCAAGCTCCTCCTCGCTCATCCAATAGAAGCAACCTTTCGGCGGCACATCACCGGCCTCAAGAATGATCTCGTGAGAGATCGGCCAATCCGGCACCACACCGGTAGGTGACTCGAAGATATCGGCGAACTCGTCCAGCAACCGCACCACACGGGGGTCCGAAGACAAGTCCATGGGGGAAGAGTCGGCTACCGCGACGGTCTGTAGGAAACATAGGCCGATCTCATGGGGCTGCTCGTAGGCACAAGTCGYCCGGAATGATTTGGCCGTTACCACTTGGCACCGGATCGAAGAGTGCGGTAGAGGAACAGTACACGCCACTTCCGCGCCGAAGGCATCGCGAACGCTAAGAGTCCACCGATGGAAGTTGACCGTGTGATCCGCACTTGCAAGCCAAGGCATTCCCAGAATGATGTCGAAGTCCGTGTCGAGAATATCGAACGTGGCCGGTTCGCATGCATGAGGTGCGAAGTAGACCGGTACGGCCTCGATGTAACGGTCGAGAAGTTGCTGCGTCTTACCGTCCGGCAACTTGATCGCCGTCGGGTTTGCCTTCCTCCGAACCTATGCGTCAGGGCCAGCCCTTTGCATAAAGGATTGGCTCATGAAGTTGCGAGTCGCGCCGCTATCCAGCAAAGCGCTGCAGGACGCTTGCCCAACCTGAATGCGGATATACATCAGCGGTGCGTTGTTGTCATCGTACCGCTGCGTGCGAAACTCGCGGGCCACCTTGGTAGTATACGCCAAGCTGTCCCCCACCGCGACTTCGTCATCCGTTGGCGAAGTTGGTGGTGCATAGAAGGATAGGTAAGTGTGAAGATTAGCGCTAAGTGCTGCGCATTGCGGTCCTGGCAATCGGCCGGTGGTCGGGAGAGGAAGCCATGCAAAGTCCTCAGACGTGAGCGGGTCCAATGCCTCTATGTTCAACTCGCGCGCCGGATCCCGTAAAGAACCACTTGAAGACGAACTGTCGCCGTTGCCGGACGAAGAAGAAACCGCACACACTCCTTGTCCTTGAGCTTGAGTACCCAGCGTTGGAACGAGTCGGGCAGCATAGTCCTCAAAAGAAAGTAGAAGAGGACTATCGACTTCCGCATGCGCCTCGGAATGAAGGCCGGCTACTCGCGAAGAAACCGGTTCCGAAGGCGTCGAGAGTGTTGTCGAGTCACTCTCGACGGTGCTCAGTTTCCCTGTCTGCCCTCGCCTTTCAATGGGCAAGCCTGCGTCTGGTGAAGATCGTTGTTGCACCAAAGGCAATAATGGAATCTCTCGCGCGCCTTGAATGCGGACTCGGAGATGCCATACTGGGTCCATGGGCCTGCCTGAGCTGCTGCACCGGGCCCGGGGCTAGATGCGGTGTATGTCTTCGTCCTGCCGCGTCCTCGGCCTTTGCCGGGGCGGCCACCTTCCCGGGTGGCTGCGAGTCTGACTCCTTCACTGGCAGACACAGCCTCGCTGGTTTGGTCTAATGGCGTTGCCACTGCGACCACGACCACTCTTGGCCGATGCTGGTCCCTGCTCGGGCCTAACGCAGATGAACGAAGGTTTTTGGCCTCCTTGTTTGTGATAATGATCTGCGCAGCCTTGTCGAACAACTCCGCCGTCATCGTCAAGGTGTCTTCGACATGCGTCAGGGCATTGCTCAATGTCGGACATGACCTTGAGATGAAGTAATGGCGGATGGCCTTGAAGCCCATCTGGATGTCTGGGACTGACGTCAAGCGTTGGTACTCGACGATCCAGTCCGTACTCGGCAGCGTGCCTTGCTCAAAGACCATGAGCTTGTCCATGGCTTTGATCTCTGGTGGCTCCACCTGGAACCACTTGTGCCACGCCGCCTTCAGATCATCCCAACTGATCACGGTGTGCAAGTCCGCTGCTACCACTCCATACTTGGACAGAAGGTTGTCCAACCAAGCCTGGCACGCGCCCCCTGAGTGAGAGTACAAGTAGGCGTGATGCTTGTGTTCCTTGACGTTGGACAGCTGCAACGTGAGCTCGAACTTGCGAAACCATGGAATAGGATCTGTCTTCGTTGAGTCGCAGAAGATCTCCTGCCCGTCGAACTTTGGAGTGGTCTCGCGCGGTTCTGTACTCGAAGTGGTGGCGGTAGTGCAGATCCGCTGTTGCAATTGCTGTGTCGCGGTCTGCTGCGATTGTACGCCATCCTTGAGTGCACCGACGTCCATCTCCAATGCATTGAGGCGGTCGGTAGTGTTGGAAGAGCCTGCGTSTGCGGCGACGACTGGTCGCTGCTCCAACCGCTGAAGGCGGTCTTGGAGATGAGCTAGCGAGGTGTCGAGGCCAAGGATCTCCGCCTGCTGTGTAATGCAGGTGGCCAGGAGATCCGTGAGATGCGAGAGGAGGAGCGCTATCTTGTTGGCGCWGTCCTCCAACTTGCCATCCTCGGCCTCAGTCCGCCATGCCGCTGCCATGGTAAGTAACGCTCGCTCTCAAGTAAATATCTCCTCACGTCGCTGTATTCTTTCTTCATCGGCATCCCTTGCTGCTGCCTCGTCATGCTGGCGCTGTTGTTCAAGTGCCAGCAGACGTGCCTGCTCTGCATCTTCCGCCTTCTTCTCCGCTGCTGCTGCAGCGTCATCTGCCCGTTTCTTAGTCTTCGCACTCCAGGCCAGCATGCGGGCCTGATAGGCCTCGTCCGCTTCTCCGGGTCTCTGGTCCATGACTGCTGTTTGAGATCTCAACAGCATAGACCGGCTGGGGCCTGCTGATAAGGTATCCCTTGCTGCTGACGTGGCTCTGCTGATGTGGCAACTCACCAATGCCACCGCAGGGGGTACCCGGATTCAAACAGAAACGGTAAGGCGAGAGATAGCA